TCCTTCCATCCTTCATCTATCTTTCCATCTATCTTTCCATCCATCCACTTCTTTACTCACTGTGTGAGAGGGGCGGGACACCCTGGACAGGTCTCCAGTCCATCACAGAGCCAATCCCAACACGTGTAAAAAATATATTTACAATAAGTCTAACCTGACTCTTTTTTTTTTTTTGTACTTTTTCAACTTTTGTTTGCTTTTGCTCAAAAAGACTTAATTTCAAATTAAAATTTGTACAGGAAAACATATTAAAAATATGCAAACCTTTATTGAATACATTCTGCCGAGCTGTGGTCAATGGTGAATTTTAAAGACAAAAGCATTCAAATAATATATTTTAAAAATGCAATATTTTCCCTTCATATTTGCATGTTTAGTGATAAGTAATAAGCTCTAGTTTTTAGATAAACTCAAATTCTGAGGGGATTATTGATGAGTTAAGCAGCGTTTGTATTTTTTGGTTATTGTCCAGTTTCCTGTAAGTTTCCAGCAGTTCATCATCCATGCTAATCTTTGCCCTCCACTCAAATGACTCTTTACAGGCTACTTGAAAGCAGTGATGAGCTCGACATGCCGTCTGCATGATGTCAGGTTTCCACACAGAGCGTCATCTCTGTGTTTTCCACAAATGCCCACAGACTTCTCCTAAGTCAAGCTCCAGACAATTGTCCTTCTGTGCAGCGAGTGTCAGAGTGACCGCTCCATGCGCAGACCGACTGTTGAATGTTAAAGCTGCACATGACGAGAGCTGATTGTTTAATGTTTGTGTGAGTCTGCAGAATGGAATATAAATATGACGGGGCCTGAAACTTTAGATTCTGACCAGTGGTTGATGGAGAAAGTGTAAAAAATTGTAACTTCTTTGCCTCTTAACTTTAAAGAGAGTGTAACTTGGAGCTATACTTTTGAAGCAGAGCAGCAGGGGCATTATCAAAGCCTAGCCTCAGCTGGCAGAGCCTTACTTTGTGAGGAGCAACAGGAAAAAAAAGAGTAAAAAATGAAGAGAGGAGGCCATGCTCCACGTTAAAGCTCTCCGCTCGAAAGAACATAGAAGTACATGACTTCAGGCATTTTCTAACAGATGCTACATGTTAGGAATGATGGCTAGGACGTAGTTTTCCCCTTTTTCTAGTTACTGAGGCGTCTCTTGAGGCAATGGGGAGGAATGAGAGTTTGTTTTGCGCCCATCCTTGTCTGTATTTGATGGAGGGCATGAAACAAGTGGACCACCACCCCTAGAGTGTGACCTCATGAGAGCCCCAGCGTGGCACCGTGCTCAACAGAAAGACTTAACACAGCTATAAATGGAATAGGTCAGACCCGCTCTCACGTTTTTTTACTTTTTCCCCACTAATGAAAGAGCAAATTTCAAACATTAGCTTAAGAAGACATTAAATGTGGAGAGAGAAGCAGAGAGGATCACATAATGAAGAGCTCTTCCAAAAGGGCAGCTCAGGAAGTCCCGACCCTTTGGAGCTTTATTTCCACCTTAGTTTTTCTCTCGCTCCCTTCTTAGGTCGAACGTTTCTGTAATAAATTACACGCTGAACCGGAGCAAAGAAGGGATGCAAGATTCAGGGAAGTAACGGAGGATTAATCTTAACATGTAGTCACTGTCACATCCGTCACTCTCCTCTTGAGTTAAACTTTGAGGAGAGAACTTGGACATTTCAGACCTGGTGGAGAACCTTTTGTTTGCCCTGGAGATAAATATGGGGGGAAATTGTTTCTTAGTAAAATCATGCTGACAAAATCCTACTTGATTTCTTGTTCTTCTTTTTCTTGTTTAGCTCAATTCACTTCAGTTTATTTATATAGTGCCAGGTCACAACAGAAATTATCTCAGTGCACTGAACAGAAACATTCATGTACATAAAAAATTTAATTAGTAGCATTATTTATCTAAGGAAAGAAGAAATCCAGCAGATTGTGTAGAGTCTTCACTTCATCACAGTCTCCCATACTGAGCAAGCACAAAGGCAACAGTGGAAAGGAAAAACTCCCATTTAACAGGAAGAAACCTTCAGCAGAACCAGGCTCAGGATGAGCGGCCACCTGCTTCACCCAGCTGTGTTTGAGAGGACAGGAAGGAGGAACAAACACAGAATGACAGGATGGAGGCGAGCAGGTCCTCTCTAGGAGGAAAGACAAAAAAAAACCTTATATAGAAATAATTACAAACTATTCATTTGTAACTATTTATATGATGACATTAGGTCAGTTTGTCCTCTAGTAGTCTAAGTCTATAGCAGCATAGGAAGGTGCAATGGGTTAAATGCAGAGAAATAATTTTGCCATTGTATGAGAACATACAATGATGGCTACACATAGCACTTGTACTTATAAGAAATAGGTCAGGAAACCCAAGCCAACCCTAACTATAGGATTTCTCAAAAAGAAAATTCTTAAGCCTAATTTTAAAAATGGACAATGTGTCATCCTCACAGAGAGAAACTAGAAGTCTGTTCCACAAGAGAGGAGCCTGATGGCTGAAAGATCTTCTTCCCATTCTGTTTTTGGAAACTCTAGGGACCACAAGTAAACCTGCACTCTGAGAGTGAAGTGCTCTTTAATGGAAATATTTCTTCTACTACTGCTGCTACTTAAAAAATCACAGTGGTTAAGTACTTTTTTTTAATTTGTAGATTTTATTATTTATTTTATGCTGTATTCCTACATATTCTTAAAAAAGGGAGAGATGTCTGGATTTTTATTTTTTTATTTTAGCCTTTTGCAAATTTGGAAAAGTGTGTGGAGAGAATTTTATTTTTATTTACTTTTTATGGTTCTATAATCTAAAAGAAAAAAAATCTGAACTTCTGTAAAGATATTTCTGAAACTATCAAAGTGCTTCTCAAATTTATTATATAAAAATAATAGATATAGTTATAATGATGTCACCGTTTGATTTGTACACCACATCAGGCCCAGAGTTCAGTATTGTAGCCATTCATGTCAAAATGTTAGTTTATGATTGAGAACACATAAATGCGTTCTCAATGTTTTTAATCTGAGGTGTCAGTGTTGTCTGGATTTTTATGTCAAGCTTTTATGGTAT